TCCTGAGGCCATTGCCTGGTGTTTCTCTCACTTGGTCACGAACTAATTGAGAGCAGGGAACTTATCAGGTTCCTGGTTGTGTCTGCAGCACAGACAAGACGTCCACTTCTTTGAATCAAAGTGGCATCCCCGGATAGCCTCTAGGGCTTCCTTGGCTTTCCCAGCCCCATACCTGGGTTCAAAGCACACCTGAGGGATACAGTACTCTCGCACCACCATGGGGCCTCCTGTAGCACTGCTTGAAAAGCACACTGTAGGTCACAGAAAGAGAATCTCAGGCTGGAAGAGCCCTTACAGGTCGTTTAGTTCTCAGTGTGGATGCTCCCTATGGCATCCCTGCCACACGGCCTCCGATCAGATGGCTGTGACTTTTAAGTTCTTCCTTAGGTTGAACCTAAGCAAGTCTCTGGGTTTCCCCTCCTCCTGGCCCTTGTTAGGATCCTCCCACCACTTCCTCACTTTGTTTTCTAGGGAGTAATGGGACTCCTGACTCCTTCAGTTCTGCTGCTAGGTTCGGCCTCTGAAGTGCCCTGGGCACTTGGACCCACCACTTCACTTCTGGTGACAGTCTTATAACAACTCCCTGATTTTCTTGTTCTTTAGAGATCACCAGCTGTGGCTCATGGTCGCATTTGCATGGCTGAGCATTAGAATCATCCATGGCACTTGCTTTTACAAAGAGAGAGAGGAGTGGGTTGATTCTGGGGGATGTTGCTCAGCAGTTCTGAATGACCGAGTCAGGGCTTAGTCCCTCCAGCAGTTTGAATGCACCTGGTAAATTTGGGAACTGCTGGCTGGAATAGAGATGGTGCATCTTGGGAGGGTGGAACTCCTGTGAGCAGTGTGGTCCTCTCCCTTCTGGAGCCACGCTGGTTCCCACTGTATCCCAGTAAGTTGCCAGGCAACAGAAGCCACAGATCTGGACTTTCCGAGGGTCCGGCATTGGGCACAGGGTTGCAGCCAGCTGCCCTGGCGGCCTTTCCTCTCCTGACAGCCCACATCTCTGATTTCCTGGGTCCAGCAGGGGTAGCTTCCACTGTGACTGAGGGGAAAGAATGAGGGCAGGAAGAGGGGAGGGTGAAGTGAACATGGGAAGTGTGTCCAGAGGGTTGGGTCTGTCCCTAGATTCCCTGACCCTTGGGCCTCTGGTTAGCGCTGGTGGAGTAGCTGGAGCCTGTAAGGTAGAGTCTACGAAGAGAGGGAGGGAAACAGGCTAGAGGATGTTGGCCGTGTGTGCTTTTCCAGGGCACAGAATTGTCCTTGTGTCCCTGCCCCCTGTTGTCAATCGTGGTTGACTGCTCCGATATCTGTGGGGTGCCTTGGGGGAAGTGAGTGGATGTAGAGGGGCGGGCTCCCTCAGAGGTGAAGCTGCTGTCTTGTTGGTGCTGGCCAGAGCGGGTGGATTTGTGGACGCTGAAGCCTGGGTTTCTCTGACCCTACTGAGCCAGTGGCTTTTCTGAGCCTCCCGGTTCAGGCCCCCAGCAGGAGGCGCCCGTGATGGAGGAGCCTCCAGGGTCAGCTGAAAGACCTATCCATCAGCGCCCTGTCTCCCGTCTGAGTCTCCTGGCGGGGCTGCAGCTGGCAGCCTGGGCTTGGCAGTTATTCCATAATTGGAGCTGAAGTCATTAAAAAGCCATTACTGTCTCCTTGTGTGGTTATGGTTTAGTGCAGCTAGAACAGTGCCCATCAGAAACAGGCAGGCTGGGGAAGTGTCGGTGAGAAAGGAAGATGCCTTAGGAATGGTGCTGGGGTGGAGATGAGGAGGAAGGGCCATCTGGGTGGGGGTGGAGAAGGGAACTGGGCCTGCTGAGGAAGCCAGGGGAGCTTTTGGTTCTGCTCTTCCTGGAGACAGCCATCATGGTTGCCCTTGGTCTCCACAACAGCTGCTGTTGGCTGGGGATTCTTTGTTATTCACCAGGGGGAGTTGCTGTGCACTCGTCCACTAGGAACACCCACCTGGTACAAGCTCGTCACTGCTAGGTAATCGTGGTCCACCTCGTCCCCTTGCAGCTCTTCTAGAAACACTGCTTTACCAGGAGTCGTGCCCACTGTCAGAGCCTCCCCATTTTAGTAAATTTAGTGTAGACCCTCCTAGCTGGGTCTTGCTCAGCCAGGCACAGGTGGCTTCTCCCCAGTGGCCGCCTCCCAGCTGTGCATGCTCCTTTCCTTCTGTGTGCTTGCAAATGCCTGCCGGTGGGTGAGGTGGTAGGCGGCTCTCTAGGTACTTTGGGGATATCTGTTTCTGGAACCTCTTTTCAGAAGCCTAACCCTTGTGTTCATCCATCTTTCTCTGAAGGCCAGTGGTTAAGTCCTTTCTACGTGTTATCTTACCTGGTAATCAGTGTTACCGAAGCCTGTGGCTCTTTATCATTCTCCCCCATCAGGAAATGGAGGTAGAGGCAGAGGAGGAGAAAGGAATGTTTTCATGGAAAGCAGCCTCCTGCCTCCGGCATAACTGTGCGTGGTCCATGGCAGGGGACGGGGGCCTATGGTAGGGAAACGTGCCCCATGCATGGATGAGAGCATTAGAAGGCGCTGGGCAGTGAGGCCACTATAGCTGCAAATACCTTTTGTCATTGAGCAGCTGCTGTGACCCAGCATTTCCGGAGGTGGCATTGCTGATGTGAGTCTCACCTCTCAGCTGGATGTCCCCTTTTCTAAATGACTCTCGATGTGAGCGTCAGCACCATGGAAGGCATCTTCTTTGTCTTGCTCAGCCAAGCCCAGGGCTGGGGATGGCCCAGGTGACTGCCCCGTCCCTGCCCTCTGAAAGTGTGAGTGGCTTGCGACTACCTAGAAAGCTGTGGAATGGCCCCTCCTGCTGGCACAAAGGGAAGCCAGCACTGTCTTGTGGAGGTTGCACAGAGGCCAGGCCACTGGCTCATGACAGTGGGGTTTATAGCTGCCCTGTGCCCAGGCACAGAGCTTGGCAAGTGGAGCACAGTTAGATTCCAGATCCTGTTGCTTCTGTCAGCCAGGGGCCATTGTACAGAGCTTAGACTGCATTTTTCATGTGTGTGCTGAAAGTTGTGATGCGTATGCACTGTGCGTGTGGCTGACCATGGGGGACACTGGTGTCCGGGTCTGACCCTTTCAAGTCCATCTGTGGGCAAATGCTTTGACTTTGCTTATTCAGTCAGGCTGTTGGCTTGAGCTGTAGAGACAGGGGAGGGTTGTAGCCTCTCAGGCCTGGCAGGGCCCTGAGGCATTTTGTGCCCTGGTCCTGAACCCTTTCTTCAGAAGTCTTCACTGCAGTCCTCCAGCCTGGGTGCGTGCCTTCCGCGATGGGATGCCCACCCTTTCAGCCAGCAGGAATATTTAGAGACCTGGTTGCATCCTGTGGTCCTGGCAATGCCTTCGGGGAGCCCCAAATGCAGCTGTGCCCTCTTAGGCAGATGGGCTGTTTCAGGAAGACCGAGGCCTGGAAGTATGGCTCTTGAGCAGTGTTTTCTCCTGTGCTCTGGCAGCTGAGGGTTTGGTGAATGAGGCTGTTCTGCACAGCCCCAGATCACAGTTGGGGTTCCTCAGGCATGCAGAGCAGCCCGTGGGTACCAGGAAAGGCCTTCCCAGCTGTCAAGTAGGCAGGACAGCTTCTAGTTAAAAACGTGCATAGTCCTCATAGATGGTGGCCAAGGTGGTGGGTGGTGGGCAGTCTGTGATATGGGGGCTTCCTTCTACCCTCTGACTGGCTCCCTTGGAGATGTAAGTAGTTTAAGGCTCATGTAGGTCAATGAATGTTCCAGCTAGAAAGGGCTAGCCATCAGGAGGAGGTGAAAGTGACTTCACTTTGTCCTCAGGGTGATGTGACCTCATGTTTCACCCTTACACGCACACTGCACTCACCTTCCCACAAGCACACCCACTTCTTCACAGGTGTCTGCATGCATGTGTGCACACACACGAGATATTCACACACTTCCTTATGGCCTCGCACAAACCTAATGCACTCGGGCATGCCTGTGCAGGCACCCGCACACAGTATGGTTCAGGGGCAGCTTCAGAATAACTGGGCCAGGGCCGCCTGGGGCTTCCCAGAGCTCAGATCCTCAGGCTCCAACCTCACCCCATGCAGCTGCCCACACCTTGGCCTTTGTAGCATTTGGGCCTAGGTCTCATGCATGTGTCTCTGGCTAGCCAAAAGCCAAGTGGTTTGAGTTACCAGCTCCCTACTTGTGCCCTGACTTCCTCAGAGGCACGGCCAGTCTGGGTGAGATGAGGCTCCCTGTCCCAAGACTTGTGGGGCTCAAGGATTGGATGTCCCCCGGGCTGCCTGTGCCATGTCTACAGCCTGGGAAGGACCTAGGGGCTGGTTGCTGGTCTGTACGGTGATGTGTTGTGTCCACCCTGCAGACAACTCTGTGTGGCCCAAGCCCTGTACACTGAGGGACTGGTTAGTCTCTTAGCTTCATTCTCTCAAATGAGAAGGAGGACCCTCTGCCCTCTTTAAGTGGGGAAGGGGAGTAGACAAAGTCAGCACTCTATTCTGCCCACTTGGAAAGCTAGGAGTTTGCTTTGAATGGATGGGGAAAGGGTCTGTCCCAGAGGACCGCAGCCTCCTCTAGAATGGTGGAAAGGAGGGGAAAGGCTGGGGCTGGTGAGATCCCAGTAGGCAGCTGGAGGGAGCAGCCCCTGGGTTTGTCTGAAGCCTGGCCTTGGACCTGGCTTGTTGCTGGGATGCCTCTGGATAGTTTTCCTGGATCTCAGTCAGGCTTGGCCCTGCTCAGGGATCTGAGGGGAGGGTCTCATCCAGTACTTACTGGGGTGTGCTTGGGGAAACAGGGGTTCTAGCAGGATTCCAAAGTGGCAGCTCAAGCCTTTTTGGTTCAAGCTGGTTTCAAGATGGCAGGCTCCACCCTTCCTCCTTCTACCATGTGGGCTCACTGAGTCCCAGAAGCCATGATGGGATGGGTTTAAAGAGCCAGGATATGCTGGGGTTGGGCTCTGGGATGTATCCTGGCACCTCATGGGCAAGCCCTGGAAACCCCTCTTTCGCTCCGCAGTGTCTTAGATGATGAGGGCAGAAACCTGAGGCAGCAGAAGCTTGACCGGCAGGTGAGTAGGCCTGGGGCTGGGTGGAAGGGAAGAGTCTGGGCTGGGATCTCCGAGGGCAGAGGGGCAGGGCTGTCCATCTTCCCTGGATGATCCCGTCTGACTGGGGAATGGGACTCCCATGTGGAAGAAGAGAGGTGCACTCTCTCCCAGCTCAGCACTAACCCTGCACGGCACATGGGCTTCTACCCCTCAGGCAGCTGGGTGACTGCAGTTGGAGAGCTGCCTGTGCTGTGATCCTGTCAAGGCAGCCACCTGGACCCTGTTTTGCCTCCTTTTCCTGGACCCCAAGTCTTGGGGTTCCAAGGACATGGGGCCTTGGCCCAAGGTGGGCTGTGGACCCACTGAGAACTGGGAGCCCTTCCTTCCTGGTGGAGGCAGTGGGTCAGCCAAGCTCTCCGCCTCCATAGCGGGCCCTGCTGGAGCAGAAGCAGAAGAAGAAGCGCCAGGAGCCCCTGATGGTGCAGGCCAATGCAGATGGGCGGCCCCGGAGCCGGCGGGCCCGGCAGTCGGAGGAGCAAGCCCCCCTGGTGGAGTCCTACCTCAGCAGCAGTGGCAGCACCAGCTACCAAGGTATACCTTGCCTGCCGCCCCACATCCTGTCACTGCTTCGGGGAGCCCCTCACTTCCTGCCCACCATGTGGGGCTGGACCTGATGGGGGATGCCCAGGCTGTGTGTGGCTTCTAGCCCAGGCAGGCAGCTGAGTAGAGAGGGCAGAGGGAAGGTGGACCTGTAGCTTTGGGCACCTGCATATGCTCCAGCTGTCACCTCCTGAATCAGGCGCTGAGGCCAGAAGGCTAAACCTTTTATGAAGCCAGGAGTTCAGAAGTCCAAGTTTTGATCTGGAGCATTTCAGTGAGTGCAGGAGGCAGCTTCTAAGAGTAGATGACCTGCTCCACCAGTATTCTGCATCCTGAGAGGAATGCATCTCACTGTCCTGCCCCATACCAACCAGTGTCTCAGCACAAACACCTGTTTCCTTCCCTCTCTGCACCGTGTCTGCCTGGCTTCTGACTTGCAGATCCCTGTCTCTGGCTCACAACTCCTTAAGAGCTGTAGTGACCTGGAGCCTCCAGCTCCCATCCTTAAATGTGCCAGGTCTCCGCAGAGCCCAGATGGGAGAAATTCTCTGCAGCTCATCCTGGAGAGAGAATGGCTTCAGCATATATCTCTGCTCTCAGTACCCTCCTTCCTGCTTGGGTTAGGTTAAGAGTAGGCTAGGCCAGACTGAGGGTTGGGCTCTCTGAGCTTAAAAGGAGGACTCAGACTCAGTCTCCACTGCCCCCTGCTGGTACTACTAATCCAGGCTGCTACTTCACCAAATAGTAATTCTAAGAAGGTTGCAGGCATCTGGCTTTTTGCGGTTAGGAAGAACCTTAGCAGTCGTGGTGCTCCCCTCCTTCAGTGGCTTCTTTATGACCTGGAGCCTCCAGATACATCGAATTACTGGTAGTTGCCTCACCTCAGGGCTTTTTCATCTAACTGCTGGCCCCATACCCTGCCTCGCAGTGTTCCAGGTTCTTCTCTGGGTGCCACTGACCCATAGCTCCCTGAGCCCTTTGCACGTTGGAGGGCAGCAGTTGAGTCTCATTTGCCTGGTGCCCATTTTGTGGCTGGGCACATCATACAGGCTCGGTCCTCTCTGTGCACGTGTATCCTCCGAGGAAGCCCACTCTGTTTCTTCTAATAAAGGCTGGCTGTGCATCTGCCGGTGGCTAAGTACAGTGCTAGAGGCTTTACCTGCATTATCTCATTTCATCCTCACAGGAACGCATTATCCACACATAATCAGTAAGGACGTGAGCTCTGAGGGGCTCAGTGACCTGCTCATAGTACTCTGCTAGTGAGCAGCAGGGCTAGACTCTGAACCCAGACCTAACAGACGCCAAATGGTCTCTCCTCCATATTGTGTTGCCTCCCTGATGAAAAGCTCCTTCATGCTAATTCCCGTGTGTGTGTCAGTTCAGCACCCTGACCATACCTGGTATGTCTGTACTCTACTTGAGAGGCCTTCAGAAAAGGGGAACAGGGACCTCAGCCCAGCTGTCTCAGAGGCAGCCCCAGCTGGTCCTCACAGAGCTGGCCCCAGCCCCACCCTTTGCTGGCAGCCACCTCCTCCACTTCCTTTGTGAATGCCATCTCAAGGGTGGTAGTGGTACCCTGCCAGGAAGGCGGCCACTGTTCTGGGTCACATGGCACGTGGCCTGTGGCTGTGTGGCATCACAGCCCCAGCTCTGCCAAGCCTGGCAGCTGGGTGAGTGAGGCTGCATATAGAATGGGGGCCTGCACCCAGGATTGTGGGCCCTGCCAATTTGTGCCAGAGGCCAACATCATGAGAGGTCATTGATGTGCAGTCATTTTGGCAAGTATTTCTTGTCAGCTGTGTTCCAGATGATGCCAGGTCATCAGAAAGACTGTGGTACAAGTAGCACCTCTGGCATAAGTGCAGGACTGAAGTCAAAAGACAGTTTCTGTGCCAGGTGGCTCACGCCTGTAATCCCAACACTTTGGGAGGCCAAGGCAGGAGGATCACTTAAGGGCAGAAGTTCAGGACCAGCCTGGGTAACATAGTGAGACCCCATCTTTAAAAAAAAAATTAGCAGGGTGTGGTGGCATGCGCCTGTATTCCCAGCTACGTAGGAGGATCACTAGAGCCCAGGAGTTCGAGACTGCAGTAAGCTATGATCGTGCCACTGCAATCCAGCAAGAAAAAAAAGAGAAAAAGATAGTTTCTGGTTGTGCCACTACCAGTTACCTGCTTGCTTGTGACTGGGACACGCCATTTACCCTCCCTGGATCTGTTTCCTCCCTTATAAAATGGGGAGCGTTCTCTGTCTTAGGGCTTTGGTACTCGAAGGAGCCATGGTGTGTTCCAAAGTCCAAAATCAGCTGATTGCTATTCCCTGCTGACATGCCAGACTGGGCTGGGCCTCCACCTTTTTCACAGAGGACATGTGAACATGTGACATTTGACTTCTGGGAGGTGCCTACTGCTTCTCTGGGGGCCCAGTCTTTGTCCAGGTCCAAATGGTGGACAAAGCTCTTGGGAGGCTGCTGCACATGTGGGTGGCCTACCTGGGAACTGGTGTTTCGAAGGCCACTCCCACCCACCTACAGCATTAGCTGCCTCCCTCTCTGCCCTCTGCTGGCTACAGGCGTCAAATACAGGGGATCATTCCAAGAGGAAAAGGAGGGAGTTTGATATACATCAGAGCTCACAGTTCATCCTGGGTTTTGACCTGCTGGGTATACTCATTCATGTTACACATTCATTCATTTCTTAAATATTTATTGAGGTTTGTGTCAGGTTCTGGATTAGAGGCTGTAGGTCCCGACTGAGCACAAATGGGTGTGGTCCCTGCTTTCATGGACCTTACAGTCTAGGTGGAGAGACAATGTTAACCAGACCGCCATGGGTGTGCTTTGTGGAAGGAAGCCAAATTGTGTGAATAGATGACAACACCTGCGCTGACTAGGGAGGCAGGCACAGCTTCCCTCGGGAGGTGACATCCAAGCTGAAATCTGCAGGATGAATGGGAGCTGATCACTGAGGGGGGTGAGGGGGAAGGCAGTGCAGGCAGCAGGAGCAAGGGCCCTGTGGCAAAAGGGAGTGCAGTGCATGTGAGGCACCAGACCAGCCTGGTGTGGCTGCAACTCTTGGTGCCCCAGAGGTGGGGAGTATGTGTTTAGACCTAGGGGAAGGGAGAGAATGTCGGTCTTCATCTTAAGAGCAATCAGAAACCATTCAAGGATTTTGAGCAGATTGGGATTCTACAGTATGGAGAATTTGGAGGCCACCAGCCGGAACCCTTCTGAGACCTCACTGTTGGTGCTTGTAGCTTCTTGTATCCCAGAGTTGTTCTGAGCACTCCTATACCCCAGCCCCCATGGGCTCATCCCTGCAGAGCCCCCTCATAGGCTCCCTGGAGTGCTTGCCCTGGTTGTGGTCTCTTCCAGAAGATGCAGCCTTTGTTCCTCCTTCACCATCTTCAGAGGCCGTATCTTCTTGGACGTTCTCCCTGCCTCTGTTCAGGCTCAGTGCGGTTTGGTGGCCCAGAACTTTGAGTGCTTAGTTTGTTGGCTGATCACAGGTGTTGGTCTGGCTGTTGACTTGATCACACTGGGCTGGGGGTGCTGCCTCCTTCCAGCTGGGCCTGCCCTGGAATCTTTGCCTAGTAGAGGTGAGTGGGCCTGATTCTGTGGGCTGTGGAAGTGGTACAGGGGCCCTGGTGGGACTCAGGGTGTGGTTGAAAATGCTGTGCTGGGGACTGTGTTCAGGTGGGAGCTCCGGTCTCACCCAGTGCCTGTTTCTCTTTCTCCGTCTGGGGATGTTTCCTGAGCAGTTCAAGAGGCCGACTCACTCGCCAGTCTGCAGCTGGGAGCCACACGCCCAACAGCACCAGCTTCAGCCAAGAGAACCAAGGCAGCAGCCACAGCAGGGGGCCAGGGTGGCGCCGCTAGGAAGGAGAAGAAGGGAAAGCATAAAGGTCAGCTTGCATTCTCTACAGCCCTCCCCAGCAGGCCTGGACTCCACTGTAGGGCTGGGGAAGGTTTGTCCTCCTGACTTGGAGCGGGGGGATAGGATGAACAGCCTCAGGGAAGACACAGACTGCCACTCGGGGCACCCCCACCAGGTGGCTCACAGGCCTCACCTAGCTTGGGAGGTACCCGGGCTGCCTCTGGGGGTGGGCATGCCCACCACACCACCAGGAAGTGAAGTCCTACTCAGCTGTGGCCCAGAACTACCATCCCCCACCTCAGCTACCTTGGCCTGAGCACCCTTTATCACGACCCCTCAAGGAGGATCTCACCCAGCCTGGACTAGGACACTCACTGCAGTGGGTGCTGCTTCCCAGGCAGCTTGCCCCATCCTTGTGCAGCCCTCGCTGTCAGCTCTTCATATAATGTGGACTTCCCTTGACTGTAGTCCAGGTTCCATCCTCTGGACCACAGACCAGCCTGTTCCCTCTGCTCCTCTTTCTCCAGAAAAGACCCCTAAAGATTAAGGACAGTGATGGTGGCACCTGCCCTAGGTCCTGTCTCTTGGCTACACACCCCATTTCCTCAACTTTTGTTCATGGACAGTGGTTTCCAGGCCATCGCATCTTGGTTGGACAGTGATGTGTCAGGGGCCATGGGCTTCTGGAGCTGACCAAGCACTCTGGGCATAGCTCAGCAGGCGGGCAGGGTGGTTGCCACCTGTATGGGTCAGGCCTTGCTTCTGTTACTGAAGCTCTGTGGTTAAGAGGTAGGAAGGCTGACGTGGGATGGGAGGTGCTCCACTTGGGAAGGCAAGTGTATGCCAATTGCAGTCTTTTTCAAGGGGCCCATGCTTCTAATGATGTATGTGAGTTACTGCATGTGTGTATGTGTGTATATTTGTGAAAGAAAACACCAGCATTGATCACTTGTAGCTGGCCGTGTCCATGAGTGATTACTGGCCTTGGCTGTGGTCTGGATCAATCCTTGTTCTCCATCTTGTTTTTTCCACTGTGCAGTTGGTTTTGTAGATGGCTGCCATCTGCTTTAAGGATGCGAGGTATTGTAAACCAACCCTCGGCAATTAACTTGGGGGAAGAGCAGAAGAAATGAAGCCCACATCCCTTAGTAGCTTACCAGTTGTTAACAGGTTGCCTCAATCATTAGTTTTATAAAAATCAGTCTTGTAAATAAAGTTTTGCAGAGGGTCTCCCCACACTTCCCTCATCCCCTTCACGGACGTCTGAGAATCCAGGCCCTCCTCTCCTCCTCCTGGATGTAACTCAGGAGTGTCCGTGGCCTGCAGGCACCAGCGGGCCAGCAACACTGGCAGAAGACAAGTCTGAGGCCCAAGGCCCAGTGCAGATCCTGACTGTGGGCCAGTCAGACCACGCCCAGGACGCAGGGGAGACGGCAGCTGGTGGGGGCGAACGGCCCAGTGGGCAGGATCTCCGTGCCACGATGCAGAGGAAGGGTGAGCCCCACGGGGGCCCAGTGATACCCCCCAAAACTTAGTCCCAGGTTCTCAGATGTTCCTTTCTCCAGGAGCATGGCCTTCCTGTGTCCAAGCCCCTCCCTGGCCATGATGGGTGGGGGTGGGGCACACTTTGGAGACATATGAGAACCTCTTAGGCAGGGCACCTGATAACGCCCCAGTGAGGCCCAGCTTTGGGGCAGATTTCGTTTTCCTTTTGCTCCTTAGATAAAGTTCCTTTTGCAAGAAGTTTCCTATATGTCTGCTAAGCTAGTGGGAGCAGGGCCAGGATACCAAGAGGCCGGGTAGATCCTCCCTGGAAACCGTCTGTTCGGTTTTCCCATCACAGGCCGTGCCCTAGGGAGCCCCTGGTGCAGGGTGGCAGAGGGAAGAAGTCTGGCAGCACCACACACATTGTGAGGAATCTAATCAAGGATGGCTTCCTGTACAAAGGACTTGGAGACAACTTGGGGATGGGGATGGCATTCCCGGGGAATGGCGGGCGGGAGGACAGCTAAGATAGAAGCTCAGAGCAAAGATGAGGGGTTAGTGGGTCCCCTTCACATTGGGCTAAGGAGCTGAGGCCTGTGCCCTGGCGGATTCCGTGGCCTATGCCAGCCAAGGCCTCTAATAGGCCTGAGGTCAGAAATGGAGGTTCCCAGTTCAAGGTGAGCTCAGTGCAGGCCTTGATACACAAGAGGCAGTGGCAGGGTGGCTGCTAGGAAGCGGGGTAATGTAGGGACTGAGCTGAAACTGGGTGGTGGGGACATATCCTGAGGATTGTGGCCAGCCCCGGCTCATGTGTGCACCTGAGAGAATGTCCTTGTATATCTGGACATGTGTGGGAATGTATGTGTGAATGTGTCTGTACGTGTACATATGGCTAAGAGTATGTGCATAAGTGTGGGTATAGGTGAGTCAGTGTCTGAACGTATGTGACCATTGTGTATTTCAGGGGCAGGGTAGACTTCTCCTTGTTCATCCCTTCTTATTCTCTCCTTGGCCCAGGCATTTCCAGCAGCATGAGCTTTGAAGAGGATGAGGAGGATGAGGAGGAGAACAGCTCCAGCTCCTCCCAGCTAAATAGTAACACCCGCCCCAGCTCTGCTACTAGCAGGAAGTCCGTCAGGGTGAGTGAGTGAGTCTGCATCCACAGCAGTTTTTGAAGGACTGCTCATCAGAATTAGAGGTGGAGTGCGTGTGAAGAGATGATGGGGAGCTAGCTTTCTTGGGGTTGGGGCTGGACTCATACACCTTTTAGGAGCTTCTCTGCTGGCCTCTTACGTCCCTCCACCTTGCCTCCTAACCTCTTCAGCTAGGCCAGCAGGGTGATGTGTAGGGGGAGCTGCAGTTGGACAGGATGACCTCTGAGGACCTCCCATATCTCCCATCTCCACCTCTAGGAACTGTTGAGAAGAGGGCAGGGCTGGGAAGATAGCTCCTGACCCCAGGCCCAGGCTGGCCAGGCCCCCATCCCAGGATCCTTCCCTCTCTCCCACCGCCACATTAGGAGGCAGATTTGGATCCCAGATCACCAATTTGGGCTGCTTAGGGTCCTTGGGACTCAGGCGCCTGTTCTGTCCCCATAGGAGGCAGCCTCAGCCCCTAGCCCAACAGCTCCAGAGCAACCAGTGGATGTCGAGGTCCAGGATCTTGAGGAGTTTGCACTGAGGCCAGCCCCCCAGGGTATCACCATCAAATGCCGCATCACTCGGGACAAGAAAGGGATGGACCGGGGCATGTACCCCACTTACTTTCTGCACATGGACCGTGAGGACGGGAAGAAGGTAGGGTTGGTCTGGGCATGTTATCATCTAGGCTTTTCAGCCCTTTGAAGTCCTAGGGGCTGAAATGTGACTGGAAATCTCATATCTACCACTGACCTCTCAGTTCCTCAAAGAAACTGCCTTCGTGTCTGGTCAGTGCATATCTTTGTGTTTTCCAGTGCATTTGTGTGTGTGCACATATGTGCGTTTGGGAGCTGAAGCAAGGGAGAGACAGTCTGTGTGAGTGGATCTCATGACTGTGTGCAGACCAGAGGCTGAGTCTGAAATACGACCTCGTTCCACTCCCCAAGGTGTTCCTCCTGGCGGGAAGGAAGAGAAAGAAGAGTAAAACTTCCAATTACCTCATCTCTGTGGACCCAACAGACTTGTCTCGAGGAGGGGACAGCTACATCGGGAAACTGCGGTACTAGCATTCCCCCAGGAAGCAGGCGGGAGTGGGAGGGAGGGGCAGGGGCAGGCTCTCTCTAGAGGGCCTGAATCTCCCTGAAGGAGATCTAGGCCAGGGATGGATACTCTCCCAGGATCCTCTCTGATCATCACATCCAACTGGAGGCCTATGTTTATGCCAGCCTAGAGCCAGACTTGGAGATGGGCCTCACATACCCGACCCCAAGCTGTTCCCAGGAGGTGGGTGCAGGTCCACTGAGAGTGATGGATCCAACCCCAGGATGTCACTGATAACGCAGGCCACTATGGAAGAGCTGCCTTGGCTCCATAGTCAATGCCAAGGGACAGGGCTAAGAGTAAGCTCTTGAGGGAAGAGACACACAGCAGTCTTGGGGGTGGGAAGCAGTGGGGAAGGGGCAGGAAGGCTCTGAGCCTAGGCCTCCAAGTGGGGGTGGTGGGGAGGTAGGGTTTGCTGAGGAACAGAGTACCAGATTTGGGGAGCATAAATGAACATGAGAGGTCAGGAGCTAAAGCTGGAGATGGGGCTGGACTGAGACTTAGGCTGGCTGTGACAGGGGAGATCTCCTCTCTCCATGGGTGCTAAGCCTCTTCCACTGTCTTATCAGATGCCATTCTGTTTGCTCACCTCCCATGAGAAGAACTCCCATGTTCCCCCAGATAAATCTTCTGAAGAATCCTGATTTACCTCCCCGAATTGCTCTCACCGAACTGAAATGCACTTTGAGTCAACTCAGAGCAAGTCAGGCCTTCTGCCCACGAAGTGTCTTCAAAGACGTGGATTCAGTGAGCAGTGTGCCTCCCTGGGCCTGCTGCTGGCCCAGTCCAGAATGTTTTGCAGGCTCCTCATAGAACAGACGATGAGCTGTTCTCTGCTCTGGGGCAGAGGGTGCAAGACTGTATACCGATTGTGCCTTTATTTCAGGTCCAACTTGATGGGCACCAAGTTCACTGTTTATGACAATGGAGTCAACCCTCAGAAGGCCTCATCCTCCACTTTGGAAAGTGGAACCTTACGTCAGGAGCTGGCAGCTGTGTGCTATGTGAGTCCTAGGTTCGGGGGTCTCTGATTTCCAAGGTAGATATGAAACCCAAGACTTGTTGCCTGATCTAGGGCCTATCCCATCCATCTTAGTGGGCAGACAAGGCTGTGTGGAGAAGGGCTGTCCTCTGTGGAGTGATCCTGGCCTAGGACAGGGGCTGTCTCCTCCTGACTTCAGAGCTCACACCACAGCCGGCCATCTACTTGGGGAGCTCAGAAAACCAGGCCTGGCTCTCTGCAGTCCAGGCCAGGAGTCTCTTAGACAGAAGGAGACGGTAGGCCTGGGTTCTTGTCTGTGCATTTCCCAGATCATCCCTCTGGCATGCCAGGTTCTACATGGATTACAGGGCTCTTTGTCATCTCACTGAATGTTCAACCTAAGAGGTAGATCCTATTTTCTTTATAGATGAGGAAACTGAAGCTCAGCTGCAGCAATGTCACACAGCTCAAAAATGACCAAACTGGTATATAAATATAGGGGATTACTCTACCTCTTTGAACCTGTTTCTTCATTTTAAAAATGAGGGGTAGGTATCCCATCAGCCTGGGCATAGGCACTTCTTGGAGGCCAGAAGTAATCCACAGCTACTTTGTATGATCCTTTGGTGCCACCTGCTGACCAGTTTTGGGGAGGCAGCCTGAGTCTTCAAGTTCTTACTGAGCTCCAACTATGCATACTGTTTGAGGCACTAAGGATATGGTAATGAACAGACATAAATGTATACCTTTATGGGACTTAAAGCCCTAGTAGGGAAGACAAGCTATGAAACAGATCTATCAGTGAAGTAAGTATGTTCTTTAAAAACGCTAAGAAGAAAAAGTAGGGGAGGAGGGATAGCAAATGTCAAGGTATGTGTGAGATTTTCAGAATGGCAGGGAGGGCCTCACTGAGGTAGCTCTTGAGTCAAGACCAGAAGGAAGTGAAAAACAGCAGTGTACATGTCTAGGGGACACAGTGAGGGCAAAAGTCCTGAATGCCTGGTATGAAGAAGGAATGGAGTAGACGCCAGGGAGTAAATGGTGAGGCGAGTAAGGTCATGGGGCCACGTGCAGGTAAAGTCACATCTCCAGCTTTTACTCGGAGTGAGCTGGGGAGCCACTGGAGGGTTTTGAGCAGAGGAGAAAGATCATTTAACTTAACGTGCCTGAGCACTGGCTGGTGTGTTGAGAACAGATGGTGGGAAGGAGGAATAGGAGGGCCAAGAACAGAAACCAGGAGTCTAGGTAAAGGCTGTTACAATGATCTTGGTGAGAGAAGCTAGTGGTGAAAAGTGGTGGAGTTCTGGGTATAATTGGAAGGTAGAGCTGATAGAAACTCCTGATGGATTAGAAGTAGGATGTGGAATGGAGGACTTTGAGTGTGACCAAGTAGTTTGCCGCAGTGAATGGAAGAATTGCATTGCCGTGAGCGGAAGCAAGGATGACGCATAAGAGGAGCTAGTTCTGGCAGAGTAGAGATGCAGGAGCTCAGTTCTGGCCGTGTTAGGTTTAGAGAGATGTGTGTTAGACTTTGGAGTGGAGATGGTGGGAACTAGCTCTTCATTTTTATTCCCGTCCCCCCCACCTTCTCCAGTAGGTAAATAGATGCCTCAGGTGGCCAGTGTTGCATTCTCTTTCCCAGGAGACAAACGTCTTAGGCTTCAAGGGGCCTCGGAAGATGAGCGTGATTGTTCCAGGCATGAACATGGTTCACGAGAGAGTCTCCATCCGCCCCCGCAACGTGAGCCTCTACCCTTCACTCCCCTCTTTCCCCATCATCCTAGTCTCTGCATGAGCTTCTAAGGGCAGAACTCCAGCTGATGTGTATATGTGGAGGGGATATCATATGAGAAAGCCCTGTAGGTCTAGGGAAATCTAAGGACCCCCATTCCTGGGATAGATCCCTCTTTGGGGTGGTCATGGTGCCAAAGGCCTGGGCCTGGCTCAGGTGAGGCTGCCCTCCCAGGAGCATGAGACACTGCTAGCACGCTGGCAGAATAAGAACACGGAGAGTATCATCGAGCTGCAAAACAAGACACCTGTCTGGAATGATGACACACAGTCCTATGTACTCAACTTCCATGGGCGCGTCACACAGGCCTCTGTGAAGAACTTCCAGATCATCCATGGCAATGACCGTGAGTGTTTCTGTCCCTACTCATTATGGTCCGTAGGATACCCAAGGCCCTTAGCATAGGGTTCAGCCCACCCACCACTGCCTACACTGGCTAGAGTTTAAGAATGTGAGTTATACAGCTTAGGTTAGATGTATGGAACTTTCTAACCCTAATGACTGGGAGGTCCTGGAAGAACGGTCTTTGCAGCCCTGGTCCTAGATTCTGTGTATTCAGCAGAGTCTCAGGCATGGGAACACCCCTTAAAAGGACTTTTCCTCTTCTCTGTCCCCTGGTGTTCACATGCATCTTACTTTCTTCTTTGCCATCTGCTACCTCTTTGCTGCCACTTCTCCCAATTGGCCTTTGTTTTACTTCCTTTGTGATTCCCCTGGCATCTCCGCTTCTCACTTTTTCTTCCCTCATGTGGTTTGGGTGTCTGTCTATCCTTCCCTGGCTCTACCATTCCTGCCCTGTCCTTTTCTCTGTCTGTGCCTGTGCTTGGCCCCAGCGGACTACATCGTGATGCAGTTTGGCCGGGTAGCAGAGGATGTGTTCACCATGGATTACAACTACCCGCTGTGTGCACTGCAGGCCTTTGCCATTGCCCTGTCCAGCTTCGACAGCAAGCTGGCGTGTGAGTAGAGGCCTCTTCGTGCCCTTTGGGGTTGCCCAGCCTGGAGCGGAGCTTGCCTGCCTGCCTGTGGAGACAGCCCTGCCTACCCTCTGTATATAGGCCTTCTGCCAGATGAAGCTTTGGCCTTCAGTGGGCTCCCTGGCCCAGCCAGCCAGGAACTGGCTCCTTTGCCTCTACTGCTGAGGCAGGGGAGTAGTGGAGAGCGGGTGGGTGGGTGTGAAGGGATGAAAATAATTCTTTCGTGCCCCGAGATCACACACTCCCACCCTTGGGGTAGTAGTGTGTCGTAGTCGTGGTTACCAAGCTGAAGAACCTCTTCAGCTGGGAAGGCCAGAAGAGGCATTAGAGGGAGAGGAAGCACAATGCAGGGCTGCTGTGGCCCAGTCATCCGCTCAGGCAAGGAGTCAGATGGCATCGGGTACTTCAGCAGGTAGGGGCACAGTGAGTGTGTGTATGTATGAAGGCCACGTCAACTTTATGTAGCACAGGGCTTGGTGGCCGAGCCTGGCCCTTAAACAACTGCAGAAAGCCCTTCAACTAAAGAAGGCCTCACCCAACCCTGAGAGAAGTTGGGAGGATGGTGGGGACAAGTAAGTGGCAGGACCCTGTCAGGATTGCAGGTGCCTGGCTCGCAGTGGCTGTGGGAATCAGCTGGTGGCTAGGGTTCTAGCGCATTTGATTTCTCCAGGTTTGCTGTGTCTCACAGAGGCAGTAGGAACCCAATTGACAGGGCTGTCTTAGTGGAGGGGCCTGCAGGACACAGGCTCAGCATGCAGAACTGCATGAACAGGGTCCCTGGATCAGGGTTGTTCTGGGAGTTCTCTCAGCTGCCCCAGGAGCTCTCTGCTGAGCAGCCCAGCACGACCCCCAGGAAATACAGATGGGGTCCAGGTCACCAGCTGACTGCACACAGCTAGGCATGCCTGGGGATCCTGCTGCCAGAGAACCATTCTCAGGCCATGGCATGCTCCTTAAAGAATTCTCTCTCTTTCTCTCTCTCTTTCTCTCGCTCTCTGGACCCAACTCTCTCACTGCTGTCAGGCAATATTTTAGAACCACAAGAGATCAGCGGTGGCAGGACCCTTAGGGATCTAGTACAACCTTGTTGCTTTAGGTGAATCACAGAAAACGGGGCTTGCCCTAGGTCACCCAGCTGGTTAATGGCAGCATTAAGAACTTCAAGTTCTCTTGATTTCTTTGTTCCTATTGTCCCCCAAGAAACTAGTATCTCTGGCCTCCTGGGGCCCATTCTGCATGTCCTCCTCACTCCCCCCGATTCCAGAGACTTAGAAACAACAAAGTTGATACATAAGATTGAAACCATTCCAGTAGGAAATCAGGCAGTTTGCTGTTGAAAGTTGTCTGGCTTTTTGCATGTGAGTATGATCCAGGACTGGCCTGTGTCTGGCCCCTCTTTGAGGGCTACTCAGCAGTAGGCAGGCCTTAGTAAGGCTGCCGCACACTTTTTGGTCTAGGTGAGAGTGCATAAAGGTTCTGGGGCTGAGCCTGATAATTCCCTCCACTGCCGCTATTTCTCCTTGGATGGCACCATCCACCTGGCAGGCTTGGGAACTCTAAGCTCAAGCTCTTGCTCATTTGTCATTTACCCTGGTGGAAGCTTCTTGCCCAGATAGAGATCTGAAATCGGTGGGAAGCAAGCAGGGATTGTACCTTGCTTTAGAGTAGATATGTTTCGAAAAGCAAAGTAGAAATTTTTTTAAATATAAGTTGTATTTTAAACATGTTAGGCTTTGTAGGTGAAGGACTTGTTTTGACTTAAGTAGAAGTAATATGCTCTCATTTCTTTGTAATGTAGATTTTCGTATTTTGAATGCTTAAAGCAAGGCATACCTGTTCTAGCAGGATCTGCCCAGACCTCGGCCGTACATCTCTGTGAGAAGCCCCTCCAAGGATTAGCTTTTGCAACATGGTCCAGTTTCTAGAGGGCACTAGAACTTTCTGTGCCAGGGCTGGCGAGTTATCATGGTGCCATCCTCCTTTCTATAGTTCCAGTTTAGCCCTTCCTTCCCTGCCTTTAAGGAGAAGAAATGTGGTGACATTTGAGATGATGGAAACTACATCACCTCTAATGTCAGGTCAAGCTATTTCTCTGGATCTATGATTTTAAGATAAAACAGGCTGGTTCTGAGTTCTGGTAAGACAGAGACCCTGGCGGTAGTGGAAAAATCAGAAGCACAAAGGAAAACTCTTGGCCTCTTCTTTCTCCTGTAGCACACAGAAGAGGGAGTTGGCTAGATCTTTTGGTGGGGTCAGGAAACATGGGCTGAGCTTTCTAGTCTGAGTGTGGAGAAGGGTAACCTCAGCCACAAAGCTCTGTCAGGCATTGAGTGACAAGCCTCAGCAGCTGAGTGCACTCCTGGTGATGCTGGTTTTCCTTGAATACTGGCCCTGGGGCTATGGACGCATGGACTCATAAAGCTGTTGGCACCCCTGGAAACCACCTGGGTTCAGCCTATCCCACAGTAAGAGTTCTTGCCCTTCATACCCTCTCGCTGGATGGATGGTCCTTGATTAGGCAGGGAATTAATGACAGAATGAGCAGTCCCTAATGGTATTGGGCAGCTGGGAGTTTAGGCAGCTTCTCTGTAACCGCTCCTGGGACCACACCTGAAAACTCTACACCCTCTGCCCCAGAACAATTCTGGAGAGTGGTGAAGTTCACTTTCCCAACTCTTCTCCAAGTCTAGCTTTTCTTTCCTTCTGGCTCCAAGGTGCTCTGTGTCGGTCTGTGTATGTGTGTGTCTGCGTGTCTCTGTGTATATTTGGGGAAAAGGGCAATCAGCAATCAACTGAGGTTTCTTAATTGTGATTATATTCCTGAGAATGAGTAGGAAAGGAATAAGGATGTTATGATCGCCTGTGGATTCTGTCCATTCATTTCATGCTCTTTGAATAGAAGGTATACCTGGGAAAATACCAGCTTTTTCTCTCAGGGTTCTGAGTGAGAGGACACCATCCAAGAATGTTGTTAGCTTTTCAGTTCCCACTCTGCATTGCCTGAAGAAATTGGTATGTTGCACGTATGCTTTTGGTTGAAATTGAACATATTCTAGTGAATGTGCCTTAAAAATCACGACACTAGTTCAGAGGAAGCACATAAGGTCCAGACCTATGGCGAAGACAGGTGTTGGAAGACAGGACTGTGATAGTCAGAAGCTGTAAGAGAACTTTTGGAGCCTGCAGGACATTTACCTCTTAAATAAACTTAGCATTTAGAGGTAGTTCTAAATTTAACAAGTGACAGGGTTGATTTGAAAGAAAAAGGTCCATGCTTTGCTTACAATGGAGTCTGCAGTGAGGGGAGATACTGAGATAGCCATTTCTATGGCTCTGTTATGAAAGCACAAATTCCATCTCCTAGATGGACTTCCTGGTTTTCTCCTACTGCAGTAACACTGGCCTTCCCTTCTCTAATTCCTTACCCCAGCTGCAGCATCCCTGTGTCAACCCAGGATGCCAAGTGGCCCTCAGATTACACTTCTCCAGATAGCAGAATGAGTCTGCTTTCACTGTTACTGGGACCTGAATGATCTGCAGTCAGGGCCCAGAGTTGGGACTTCTGGGCTCTGGTGTGTAGGCTTGTAGTAGCCACCAGTAATAAGCCAAGGGCTGGGCTCTTGTTTGAGTTTATGGCCACCTGGAATTTTCTGTCATCTCAGGATACAGTTGGGAGGGGCAGAACAGACATTATGACAGGTTTGGTTTTTAAAATTTCCAACCAAGTTTGAAAAGGCAAGTTGGTCTTATAGAAAGCACTACTGCACTGAGTAGCTATGTGATTTTGAGCAAACCATGTAATCTCTCTAGGTCCATTTTCCTAAACCACAAGATGAAGATGTTACATTGTCAAAGCTTGCTGTAGGATTCGGGGTGAATGAAAGTTACTCCTTGCTTTCATCACTACCTTTATAGCTCATTACTGTGCCTTTTTTTCTTTCCTAAGACATCACATCCCTCTCCTCTGTGCTCCTGTCCCTCCCTCCCCCTAGCAAGGTCCAGGCAAAGCTGGAGATGAGGCTGAGATCCAGATTTTCTTAGAAGGCAACTTAGAATGGCTAGGAAAGGGAAACCTGACTGCTTGGTCAGGAGGGTGCACGATCTCTTGCTGGGAACACAGCCAGTTTTCACAATGCCTAGAATGTGTGTGTCTATTTGCACAAGTTGTCTTTTCCTATTTTGGAGTGGTCAGACATTTATTTTTGTTCAAGATTATCTGGAGTTTTAGACAAATTTACAAAACTGTGCTTTTATTAAGTGACTTTTTGAATAAACTTCTTTGGTATTCTGGAGCAAATGTATTTATTTATTGGTATGTGCAATGACAAACTTGGTATTTTCCCATGTTGACATTACGTATGTTGTAGAATTTAGTGTTTGTCTAAGTACAGACATATATCAACAAATTAAACTTGAATTGTTTCAACATTTTCGTGTACTTTTTTCATAAAAGGGGGAAAAAAGCCCTGTTTACTTCCTTTTTTCTGTACCTTTCATTCATTGTTTCCTAGGAGCCTCAGGTGGGTAAGTAGGTGGTAATAGCAAAGAGGTCATAACCTCACCAATGACATGCAGGTCAACACTGTCCTCCCTCTGGCTGTCCCTTTCAAGTTTAAGGTTCATCAGAACCACACCCAGAGACTGGAAAAATGGTGAAGTCAGAAGGTTCTTAAGTTAGAGCAGTTCTCTTCAGGGTCTGCTGTGCCACCTGAAGGGGCTGGTGGTTCCTCAGTATCCCCTGTGGGCCTGGCCTTTAGAAGAGAACAGGGCCGTAGAGATGAAAAAGGTACAAAAGACCCAAGCACTTGATTTCTCTGGGCTTGCTTGGACCCTAACCCATTTAAACAGGACTTAGACATGCTTAGGAATCTTTTTTGTTGCAGGGCAGCTGTGGCAGATTTGACAGATTTGAAACCAAAAAGGAAGGGAGGCTATAGTGGTAGCTAGAAGCAGACATGAAAGCTAATGGTCTGACCCAGAGAGGAGGTTATAACTAAAGGCACCCAGAGACTGCAGAAGGGCCCTGTGCCACTCCAGGCAGTCAGGGTAGCCTTAGAGGGTGTCAAGTGTGACATCTCAGCAACACTGGACTTGGTGGTGACGGTGATCATGCTGTCACCAAGCACCTACCATATGCTTTGCCCTGGCACAGACATTTTATAAACAGCATCTTATTCAATCCAAACAGCCCTGTAAAGAGAGCATTTCCCAATTCATGGGGAAACTGGTTCTCTGAGAGGTTAAGGAATGACCTAAGAGGAGAAATTTGGCCTATTTTCTTTGTATAAAAAAAGGGAAATGAACAGGAAGCACATTTTAGAAAAGTCAATGGTCAAGGCAAAGTCATAAATGTATTCATGTTTTTTTCTCAGTATTGCTGAATAGCTAAAGTATTAAATGTTTCTTTGGAACACAAATAGTCCAGATTGAAGAGAACTTTGAGAGTAGGGTAATAAATAAGGTTTGTTTATTCCCCCAGATCTAGAGTTCTGAGGTGACCAAGGGCATTTCCTACCTGAACCACGGCCTATCTCCTGTGGCCTCTGCCTCTGCCCCTGGTGGGAAATAGCATATACAGGATATTCTAAAAAGGAAAGAGGGTTTTGTTTGTTTAGTCAGCAGGTTGAAAAATCTTAGATGGCTATAGACAGAGGTGGCCCTATGTCCAGGATAGTCTTAGTTTATGCCTATCACCTTGGCATAATTACATTAAAGCTCCCTTTTTCCAAGGTGTTTGCATTTGGACCATAAGTTATTTGATCACCCAAGCCATATAAGGTGCAGAGTATGGTTCTCAAAGGCCACTGCTTCTACAGGCCAAATACACCTCCACTCCTCAGCACACCTCCCTGGGCTCAGCTTCTGGAGCTAGTCATGGAGATAATGAAATGGTTTCTTTGTGCTCCCGTTGTGACCAGGAAAGAGGATCTCCTGGCTGCACTACCCACCTGATTTATCAAGAATGATCCCAGATTATGCAGTTGTTTTGTGGGCTAACTGTCCATAGAGGTATGACTTGTGTACTCTGCCACACTGCCCAAAGGCCAGGGGACTGATCAAGTTCCCAGCCCCCTTGTTGTGAGAAATGAAGACCGCAAGAAAAGAAACAGCAGCCCTGGCAACAAAAACCAGTCCCATGATTTTGTCATCCTGGGTTGTATACACACATAACTATCATCCCTGAAGGATAAAATAATTCTGGAAAATCCAAAAAGAATTGTCTGAATTCTAAATAACTGAAAGGTACATCCAAATGTCTGATATATACATACACAAATATATTCCTTATATATAAACCAACCAAGAGCTAGGGCAGGAAGAACTACCATAAGGGCTTAGTACTTCTGGCAGGAATTTCCATAAGCCAATTTTCCCCAAAGACTAACAACACTTTACATAACAGCCTCATCAAAATACTTGAACATCCATGTATTTTCACACCTACTGCTTTTTTCAACATCTCCTTCTGCCAAGAATGTCCTCTCTTCTTTGCCCACCTGAAGAAGTTCTTAGCATGCCTCAAGGCCCACCTCCCAAGAAACTGAAGTGTCTTGGAAATACTTTGGCAAAAACAATTTCTCTTTCTTGTAGTTTTGGGCCCATGTCTGAATTATAACATAGCCCTTATAATAAAAACATAATTACCACTTAATGAGTGGTTATCATGTATGAGCTAGAACCAATGCTGTTTTACACACACACACACACTGATTTCATTTAACCAGAACTTTTAATACTCTTCCCTTTACTACCCTGAAGCCAAAGCTCAGACCAGTTAAGGAGCCGATCCAAGATTCCACAGCTAGAAAATGCAGGGACAGACCATGGCTCATGTTTCTCTGCCTGCAGAATTCACAATCTTGAGCCCTCTTATAGAGTCATAGTTCATTTTATCTGTCAGGCTCTCTCATTATATTGAGTTTTTTGAGAGCAGAAATTGAGCCTCTGTTCCTAGTACCTAGCACTGAGCAACTGACTGCTAAATGAATGAATTAGCTAGAAGAAAACAGAAGTATTTATCTCTAATAAGGGAATCATATCCTAGGGCAAAAAGGAAATCTGAGCAAGGAACCCAGAGCTCTCCTCATAAATCAACCCCTCATAGTAAACGAAGGGAAATAACAGAAAACAATTTATCAAAACAGTAAAGAGCACCTGTTATTTTTCACCTTTAGTGTACATCTAGATTGCATTCAATACATTTTAAACTGCATTCTTTACAATGTGAAGCAAATGTTCTACACAGAGATAGATGCAATATACTTTCATAAATTCAGTCTTGAATGACTTTTCTCTGTAACTCAATTAACAATAAATGCCTAGTAGTAGCTGACAGATTATCTTACTATGATCCCATACCTTCTAACAGCAGTCTGTATGCTGATGTATGATTTTAAACTATTTTCCCGGCATCTTATTCATGCCAAGCATAATGTAACTCTAAAAGCCATATCTACCTTTACATAATTTCTTAATTTTCCAGTCTTCTACATTTCATGACTGGGAATGTCTTTGGGAATGTGCCCTCTTCAAACTCTCAGGTCTTACATGTAAACTGAATTCACACATACTTCATGATGTAATTCACGGGTACTATCTTGTCTCAAGACATGTGTCAGATGCAGTAAGGAGAAAAGGCCTTTAGTTTGGTCAAAATCTCCCAGGCCTAATCTAGTTGCGACACTCCCCAGCTCTCTCAAAAAACCCAAATATCTGAGTATGGAACATATGGTCTCTACCCCTGGGCGCTGCTTCATTGGTTCTCTGCAACAGACATACTCCAACTTCCCTGTTGAGTTGGCACTTTGTATACAAGATCAGTTCTCATTTCTGTTTCAATTTATGTGCTTTTGAGAACAAATTTCTCAAAGGGTGCAACATTCAGAAAGAGCTTTAGGTAAGGACTGTCCATAAGCGCACAGATTCTCTCCCCAGTTGCTGGCTTCCTGGCCTTCTGAGCTCCTCATGGCAGGAGCAGAATTCACAATCTTGAGCCCTCTTATAGGGCTGCAGCCTCCTCATGGCAGGACCATCCCTGGGCAGGCCTTCCTACAGCTTCAATGGCCTCAAGTCTTGTCTCTGCAAGGCAGGGTCTAAAGTCTTTATCTAAAGCTTCCTCTGTCCACTGAAAACCAGGAGTGCAAAGGTACTTCTGGGCTTGGCAGTTCTGTTAAGCAGAACAGGGGTAAAGGAAGCTAGATATCCAGGCAGTATCAGAGTAAAACAGTCCCCAAACAAGCCTCTGGGCTCATTCTCAGATCAGTGGGAGTCTTCCCTACTCTGGAGAAAAGAGGACGTTTGAGGCAGCATCAATGTTCCTAGGAATACCCTCACTGCAAGGAAGAGGCTTCAGCTCAGAGAGCAGTCTTACCCTGCTCTGGGCCCAGCCCCACAAATAAAATGTTCTCTTTTCCCCAGGGGACTACTAACCTGCTCAAGGCCCAAAGAATAAGGCATCTTGGAGTCTGAAATCTTCATTCTTGCAACCTTAAGTCCTCATCATCTGTAAGCTGATGTTCGTTCACAGGTGAACTATCTGTTACACCTACCAGGAAGAGTCAGACCTTTGCCCCTGAGTGGTTCCATCTGTAACTACAATAGACCAAACATAATTACTTAATGGATCAACTTCTCTGATAGGGGAAAGGCAGGAAGAGAAAGAGCAAAGCTGTCCTGTGTTCACACTAATGTCCATGTTTTACAAGGTGACAGGTGTGTGAGCACCAGGAAGGATACATGATATCCATGATAGTGGCCTGATAGCTATGACACTTGAACACAGTGAAGAAAGTACAGGGCACAGGGCCAAGAAGGAAATCTGAGGAGAGAAAGGTCACCTTGGGACTTGAGTAATGGATACTTCAGACAGGCTGTTTTCACTCTAAACCCTGGGGGTTACGCTTCCTCAGCATGCTGCCTGTATATGCTTTATCGATGTTGATGCCCAACCCTTCATCTCTAAAGTCTTGGGACCACTCTTCTTTAGTGGTTTCCTCTTGCTCAAGGTAGCTATCTGCATTGAATCCAGCATTCTCTGCCAAGACAGCAGGATCCTCGTCTTCATGAAAACAGCAGGAACATGTTTTTGGCTTTGGATCACACGAGGTGACAGAATTATCTTCCTGGGCTCTGGGGTCAGTGGGCAGACTTTCCCAACCCAAATGATCTGATTCTTCCTCTTCTATCACTCCCATTCTCTCAGCTGTTTCTTCAGCAGAAAGCTCTTTTGGGTCAGGGTAATCCACCAAAATTGTTTCTTGCCTACGCTTGATACACTCTGAAAGGTCATAAATTGGGTAAGTCTCTTCAGGGTAACCTAGAGAGAAAAGTAGCACAAAGTATTACAAAGAATGTCTCCTCAAAAAAAATTGTGTCAGGTTCAAAGAGGATTCTCAGGCAGCAGCCATCTTATCCTAATAGATCCACTG